AGCTCATAAAAGGAAAGTAAGGGGAAAGCTGAACTGCATGATACATTTATATGATACTTTTGTTAACCGCAGGTGGCAAATTACCATGAACTTCCCATACAGTGTAATCTCTATGCATGTCTTGAGTTCAATGGGTCTTCTTCCCTGACTTTCTGAATCCAGCGCCCATATGATTTCAGGTGCCAGGGAGAGGAAATGATGTGGAGGCTGTGAACTCCCAAGTATTTGCTTCAGTTCCACCTCTTCAAACCTAAACCTAAACTCATGTAAGTTTCAGTAAGAGAAATCCTCTCATCCCAAATAAGAATGAAGGAAAACACAAGCAGGATTTATAGCAGTGTGTTGCACAATGGAGGGTTGCTTATCAGGATTCCATCTGCTCCATTCCATTCCCTCTCTACATGGTTTTCAATTTCTACACCACCCTGGGAGGAGGAATCATTGAGTATCCCATAGCCACTGAGCATGCTCAGTTCTCATTGGGCTGTCTACGGGGTTACAACTTGCAACAACAAAAGTTTGTCCCACCATATAACCTGGCTGGCTTCATCTGAGGGTATGTTCACGTTACCCCTTGCTCTGTATGCACAGCACCCCCACTGCTAATTTTTGAAGCTGCATTCACACGTTAGCCAAAATCTGTATCGGCCCTGTCATTTCCTGCCAAATACTTCTGTTTGATGCAATTCTTCTCAAGCCAGCTTCAATCTGATTAGAAAACTGGATGAAAACTTATCTGATGTGAGCATCTCTATGCAAACATGGCTTGAAAAGCAGTATGTGTGTGTGGCAGGGGGAATACGTTTCAGGCCACTAATGTGAACACAGCCTAATTGGATGGTTATGTTCACACTCCTGCTTTCTGTATTTCCAGTGCTGGGTTTTCAATCCACGTTCATAGGACATTATCTAAAATGCATATGTATCCCGTACTTTGTTATAAGACACAACTGCTTGATACATTACGAACACCTTTCCTCAGGGTAAAGATATCCCCAACAAGAACACACCCTCAAAGGCAACAGAGGATCAGAGCTGGGTCACCAAAGAAGCTTTTGGACTCAATTTGATCTTTGACAGATTTGGTTTGTTGCATTTTGTGTGGTGGGTATGCTGCTGTATTCACGCAAGCATGATGCCCACCCTCAATTTACTTTCTTTTACTTTCCCCAAGCACCTCTGAAATTCGGAGATCATTAACGCCACACAATGTAACAGAGCCTTCCAAAGTATTTTCTAACCTTTAAGCACACACGTAATCCCCATTAGCTTTAATGTGAATCGTGTGTGTGTATCAAGAGGCAAACAGGCCAATTAGAGGCAGTACAACACATATATTAATCTTCAGGGTCATACCCAAGGCCATGTAGTCCAAAAATTGTTTATGAAAATGAGTTACTGTTCAGGCACAGTTGCCATTTGGGCACCTGGAATAGGTCTGGCAATTGCTAAAACTGTGCAAGTGAACTGTAATCGCTGCATTTATATTTGTATTAATGTGGGTACTCATCCAGGACCTGAGGCAGCCTGCCTTTGCATACCAGGTGGTGGGGAACAACAGAGGGAGAGGGCTATTGCCTATCTTGGCCCCACTGCACTGGCTACCAGTTAGTTTCCAGGCCCAATTCAAAGGGTTTGTTTTGTCCTATAAAGTCTTATGCAGCTCAGGACCCCAGTACCTCACAGACCACCTCTCCTCTTATGAACCAACCCAGAGCTTGTGATCATCATCTGAGGCCCTTCTTCATGTGCCCCCTCCACAAGAGGTCTAGAAGGTAGCAACATGTGGTCTGACTTTATCGACTGCATCCGTCAAAAAGAGCATAAAGGTCTCCGCCACCAGTCTATATGAGATTGTGGATTATGTGACTTTCATTTTCCTCTTTCTCAGCATTTCCTCATTGTTTGCCTGGTTGTTTCTGCCATCCTTTCAACATACCTGGAAAGACATAACAAAGAGAAACAAGGCGAGCCTCTTATAGTTAGAGAATTGATTGTGGTTTGCTTTACCTTCTCATTCTTGCCAGATGTTCTGTCTTTGTTTCCCCTTTGGCTTTTTATTTTCCTTTCCCCCTGTTTAATGTCATGGTTTCTTTACTTTGTATTTGATACTGCTATGCCAAAATTCTTAATAAAAATATTGCGGGGGGGGGCATGAAGAAAAAGAAAATAGCTGTGAATTAGCAAGATCTGAATCTGATAGGTAGTAAGCATGGTTTTGTATCTTATTCAGATGTTAGGATGGAAGAAGCAAGTTCAGTTGTTATAAGTCATGCAAAAGTAACATATCCCATACACACACCTTATTTTCTTTTCTTCTTCTACAAATGAATGTGTTGCACCAAATTCAACAGCTAGACTTTTTTAGGGTGGAAAAGGTAGAACTGTTTTTTTTAAAAAAATCTAGTTTAAAAAATACTCTTTGAGGTAACCACCACACAATGCAGATATCAAAGATTCAATGATTTCACCAAGTTCCTAAGGCAAAAGAATGGAGCAGAGGTGCTTGGCTGGCTGTTGTTTTCTGGCTGAGCTTTTGTGCCTTCAGCTACCTTACAGAACACCACATTTCCAAGATACAGCTTTTACCCCTACTAGGGTCATTTAATGGGGAAACAAGTGGAAAGTACTGTACAGTAACCAGGGGGAGTGGCTGCTTATGAAATAACAACATGCAGGGCATACAACTACATCAAACCTCAGTGCAGCGTTTGGGGCACAGCTTGTTGGGGAAACACTCCTGTCATAGGCTCACACAAACAGTACAAACATTTCATATTTACTTGCAAAGTTGGCAATACTGTTACATTAACACATTAACATTTCCCTCTTGCAACAGTGGCCACTCAACAAACTGTGTGTGTGTGTGTGTGTGTGTGTGTGTGGCAGAGAGTATCCTTAGATTTGTTTTAAATGACAGGGATAAATAATACATGCAAATTATGGAGGAGGAGGGGGGAATATGAGAGCTGGAGATATGCGCAGATAAGCAGTTCCTTGAGATACAAATGGTTCCATGTATGAGGCTAGTCTGTTACCTGGCATTGCCCGGGGAAAGGTTTGCAGAGTGATTTTGACAGGATCAGGGTCTTGACACCTTACTTGAGAGATTATTTGGGACAGGGGAGGGGTTGATGGAGTCTAGAGAAATTGAGCATAATATGTGTAGTGAAGGACATTGCCCCCCCCCGTAAACAAATGGGCTACAGATTTTTAAAAGAAAATAAAAAACAAGGTATTAAAAAGTTGAACAAATGGGAAATGTGCCAAATGGTGTAGGGCTTTTCCTGACCATGTGATTTAAAGCACACACTCATTGTAAGGAAGAAAAAAAAGCAGAGAGGAGAGCATAACAAGAAACTCCAAACATCCTTTCCCAATTTGCTGTTTTCCTTTTTAAGGGTAAATTTCAAGGTTCCAGAGAAATTACACACCCCTGCCCTCTTATGAAGAGGATGGGGGAATATGACAGGAACTTTATCAATTTATGAATGGCTACTGCCCCCCTTCCCCCACTTTCTCATTCTATTCCTCTGACAAATGGAATGCCAATAGAAATAACTGGTGTGTGGGTCTCACTGCCAGACGTAGTAACCAACACTGGCTTAGATGCCTTTTAAATAAAAATTAAATATTGGACAGGTTTATAGAGGATTATTAGTCATTATTGTTAAAACAGAGCTTCCCGTTTCAGAAGCAGTATACCTCTGAATACCAGCTACAATACAAACAAAACAGAATCTTTGCTTGTGGAGCATTAAGCTACTCTCTGTGCTGGGCTATTTAATTCTAAAGAGTTGCCCATCCCTCGACTCCTTAAACAGCGCAATGATTCTGAATTCCATTTCTCCAATCAACTCTCATTGGGCAGCACGTCGTCCGCGGCTTTTCCTTCCATGTGATTGGATGCAAGGGCCGCCCATCAGGCAGCTGACCCCGCCTGACCTCTTCGCCGTAATCGGCTGAGCTCTCCGCGGAGAAGCTTGGCAAGATCACAGAGTAATGTAGAGTAGCTCACCATCTGGATAGCGATCTTCTGGGTTTACTCTGGAAGCCATTTTTAAACCTTTCCCTCTCCGGAAGTGAGAGAAACAACGGGGAAACCAAAGTGTTTTATATTTTATTTACATTTTTACCAAATCTGTGACTGGGCATCAGAATGTCCACCCCAAAAAGGGAGTAGCAAAGGCAGGAATCCAGGCTCTCTCTCTTTTTTTTAACCCAGGCCTTCCTATCCCCCATATCTTGGCTTGGGGGCGGGTAGGCTGTTGAGAGTGACTACAACAGTACATTGTTAATTGCACTGCATTTTGGAGATCATCCTGAGGCTTAAGTTTACAACAGCCCTGCAACGTAGTCCAGGGACACTGAGCTCTGGATGTAGGTTGGGCAGACACTGAGAGAATAGCACCGTAGTCAGCTATTCATGTTGCAGGTGGGGCTGAGGTTGACTGGTTTGATTTTCATTTTAAAACTGGTTTGGTTTAACCAAAAGCCAACCGATTTCCACCCCGACCCTTTCTAGTCCCAACCTGGTACTCAGCTGTATGCAGAAGTCCTGTGCTCTGGTGACTTGCATGCAGATCCGTGACAACAAATCCTTAGAAGAAGAAAAACAAACCTAGGACCACATTCTGCATGCGAAAAAAGACGTTACTTGGAGCATGGAGTTCAGCATTTCCTATATATTACTTTGAGGGCGGGGGCGAGGTGTGCCTACTGCCCAATCGCACCCGTATTACAAAATCCTGTGTTTCTTTCCTGTGTTCTTTTCTACGGAGAGCTATCACTTTGCTCTTAGGGAGAAATCAAAAGGTCTTTTCAAACCAGAGATTTGGGCGACGTGCCACTCTTGTATTTATTTTTGTTTTTACTATCTCTATGGGCAAAAGCAGAGAACAAGAACCGCGAAGCTGCGGGGGGGGAGAGGGGAGCCGCTCTAGGAAAGACGTAAAGGGCATCTCATTAGTATTTCCTGCTTCGGCTGGGGAGACGCTCTGCGCGTTGTCGTCGGCCGTTACCTACAACGCTGAGGAAAGCAAAGGACGGAGGAGCACCATAGAGATGAGGAGAGCGGAAAGGCGCGCGGCGTGGTGGAAGCAAGCTCGGCTGCTCTAGGAATCCCCGAAGGAGAACTCGACGCCCGAAGTGAAATCCGGGTCACCGAACTGCATAGTCTCTTCCCCTCGGTCGGCGCGGGAAACGGGGCGGCGGGGTCTCGCGGAGTAGCCCCTCCCTCAGGAAAAGAGAGGTCAGTCCGTGACGGAGGAGGGGGGTGGATGGGGGGGAGACTGACAATCGGTGGGGAGGGAGGGGAGAGGGGCTGCGTGGCGTCAAGGGGGGGGGGTCCCAAAATGGGGCTTAAGGCGAGCTCAGCGGCATCCTTAATTCTGGGACTGAAGAGGCCTGCTCGTTGGAACTCCCTGCCTATTGACGTCAAGGAGGCTCCACCTCACCGCACGCTTTTTCCAGCTCCTGCTGAAAGCCTTCGTGTTCTCTCAAGCCTAACCCAGATGCTTAGAAACTTGAAGTACTTTTCATCTGTTTTAGTGCTCTGACTTTTGTATGTTTGAAACTGAATTTTGTGGATTTTTGTAAACCGCTTTGAGGTTGGTCCCCCCCCCTTTCACAATCTTAATGAAATAAATAAGGGAGCAAAATCCTTGGGAGTTGGGTTACCTCGCTCTGCAAACCAGGTTTCTTTGTTTTATATCGCCCTGCCTGCTTTGTAAAAAGCGTTATCAGTTGGATTTCTGCCTGCCATGTATCTGCTTGTTTACATTTCTTTGTCCCCTTTTCTCAAGGAACATAGGAAGATGTCATATACAGAGTCAGACGATTGGCCCATCTTGCTCAGTATTGTCTACATGCTGACTGGCAGTGACTCTGCAGGATTTAAGGCAGGGGGTCTCCCCCAACTCTACCTGGAGATGCCGGGGATTGAATTTGGGGCCTTCTGCTTGCAAGTGCAGATGCTCTGCCACTGAGCTGTGGCCCTTCCAGGGTTGTATGGATGATCCTTCTTCCTAACACAACTTTTTATCCTTGCAACATGGATGCAAGTTAGGCTTGACTTGAATGCTAGTTCCAAGGGTTCTGCTTGTGGTCTTCACCAGAGGCATCTTTGTGGGAACATAATGCTGGATTTGTTCTGATTCAGCAAGTGGTTTTTCCTTAAAGTTCCTATGAGAGAATGCCTAATCCAAAGTCACCCAGTGAGCTTCTTCGCAGCTGAGTGGTGTTTTGAACCTGGCTCCAGCCAATTGTAGTCTTAACACCACTGTACCATACTGACATTCCTATGAAGGATTCCTAGGAGGTGGGTGAGGGAGGGACTTAGCCGTGCTACATGTGGCTTTAAAACAACAACTGATGAATAACCACAAACCTCTAATTGAAACTAATTTACAGTTAGTTTCAAAGCCCTGCTCCTACATTTTTCATGTCCCTAAAGTAATGATGAGTGAAACGAATGAAAGACACAGAAATCAGCACCTGCCATCATATACAGTGGTACCTAGGGTTAAGAACTTAATTCGTTCTGGAGGTCCGTTCTTAACCTCAGATACCATTCTAGCTAATGGAGCCTCGCGCCGCCGCCACACAATTTCTGCTCTCATCCTGAAGCAAAGTTATTAACCTGAAATACTATTTCTGGGTTAGTGGAGTCTGTAACCTGAAGCGTCTGTAACCCGAGGTTCCACTGTACAGTGTATCAGCTTTATCCAGCCTGGTGACCTCCAGATGTCGTGGGCTGAAACGCACATCATTCCTGTTCATGCTGGTTGGAAATGATGGGAGTCCAACAACATCTGGAGGGCACCAGGGCTGCTGTACTAATAGTGAACATAAATATCTGCTGTGTTGGTCTTTACATAGATGGAACAGCACTGCCCATGCCCTGGAAAGTAGCAGCAGCATTGCAAGGGTCCCAAAGTCTGCAAAAGTAAAACACACACACACACACACACACACACAGACTGGAGTGACCGCAAATCAGCCCTCTGAACACTGAATATGCCCAAGTAATTGGCAGAGGGTAGGAATGGAATGGGGCATACCAGAAGAATGCAGGATAGCAGCCAACCAGTCATGAGAAAGAGCATTCCCTGCCCCAACATTTAGTTGCACTTCCCACTTGTTGCCTGTATTTGAAGTTGAACAGCTGTTCAAGATGCAAGAGTCCAGTGGAGTGCCATTGAGAAATCCATGCCATTGATCTTTTCCTGTGAACATTGTTTTCAGATGCTTTGCTTCCTCCTTCACACATTAAAGAATGAGAAAAAACCCTTAGGTAACCTTGTTGAGGTGTCTTCCTTGCATACCCCAAGTATTCCAGAGTTGGCATATTGCAAATCCCAAATTATTCTGCATTCAATGATTCATACTCAAATCATTTGTGAAGAGGTGTGTTAATTTGAACAAGTCTGGCGTGTTGTGTTTAGTTACCTAAATAATATCTCTTAAGACAAACGTGCTTTTAACAGTTATGTAATTACACTAAGAATGGAAAATTGCACATCTATACAAGTCAGTATCTAGGTTTTAGGTACCAGACTGTAGAGAATTACAATGCCCTACATACAAACACACTCACACTCCTCTCATTCACAGGTGGCACCAAAATAGACACAGAATCACAGTTACCTCATAGCAAAGTCTTGTGTGTGTGAATTCTCCTTACAGGCCCACTTCAGGTTTGGGAGTGCCTTAGCAAATATTCTACAAGTAGGTTGAACAATGGTGTGGTCATCTGAGGAACTTCTTTCATGACCCACTTCCTTCCAGCAAATGAATCCGGAGTTGGGAGGAAGAGAATAAGTGTGTGTATATCTATGCATGTATTCATTAGTCCTGTGGAAAAGCTCTCAAATAGACTTGTCACTGAAATTTCCCTAAAGCAAAATCAAAGTGAATCTGGAGGATCTTGTTCAGGAGAGTTAGAGGAATTTTGAAACGATTAATTAAATTTTTCAGGTGGGATTCCATTTTTTCTTTCTTTTTAATAACATGCGAGCAGCAGTCCCACCAGGAGCAAGATTGCCTTTGCTGACCTTATTTCCTTCAATGACCTTATTCAAAATCTGAATTTACTATGCATGCTGCACAGCTCAGCTAACACGGAGAAAAACAAGGTGGTGAATACTATCCCTCAAGGTTTTGAAGGCAGCTTTAAAACCGTTGGCACAGGAGTGGAAACAATTATGAAGATGTGCTCTAAAAAAAAATCTTGAAGGTACCCAAAGAGTCAATTTTCATATCGTATGTGTGTATGTTACACACACATGTCATGTATTCCTTGGAAGGAATATCTCAGACCTCTTAAATGTGGTAACATATGCGAGAAAGGAAATATCAGTTTGAAATCACATATTCAAAGCATGCACAGTGCACAGACTTGATCCAAGCAAAATTGCTATAAGGAAATTAATGCTACATTAGCAGGCACATTTTAATTTCCTTTCAAAGCCCATGGTACCTCCCTTAAATTATTTCCTTAAGATAAAGATTTGAGTGAGCTAAAAAGTGCACCGTATAAGCCCCCTTCTAAGCCTTGCTATCCTTATTAAAAAGTGGGGTGGGGTGGGGGAGAAGCACATCATTCTTATCATTTTGTCATTGATGGAAATTGACTCATTTTGTGCAAGTCTAAGCATGCATAACTTTATTTTTTTTAAGATGGTGGTTAAGCAATTTATATTATTTGTTGCTGTGATCAGTTACTTTCCAAGATGATTTTCATTTGGATTGCTTAGGAATATAGGATTGTTTGTTTATACGGGAAACAGAATTTTAGAGCGTTAGGTTTTCAGAGGCAGTAAATTTCATGGGAGTTCAGGTCTGCTGATATGGACGTGGAATTCACTGTCAGCAGGAGCTCTCCCATTAACTTAAATGGTGAAGAAAGGGATGGGGGATTATATAGCATTCTCCATCACTGAAGTCTCAGTGTGCACATAACTCAATGTGCACACTGAGGCCCCCAGATTGGGCCAAATATGTTTAATGAATGCTCATTCCTTCTGCATTTACCATTTAGCTTTGTGCAGACAAATTCCTATGTGGGGGTTAATCAGACTTCAGAATTTTGTGAGATTACTAATAGAAGGAACCAGGAACATCAGGTTACTGTCTTCTACAACAGTGCGATTTTACCATTGATGCTAACTAGAATATAACATAGAATGCTATTTTTTAATATATAAAAAATCCTTTTTTCTTGAGCTTGCTGAGATCTGTGTGGATTTTCACAGCAGAAGACTCAGATTTAACTTTTGGATGCAGTAGGTTCTGAACTTCTTTGGAAGTTTATTGAGACATTTATCAGTGATAATTCAGGACTTCCTGAGATAGAAATGCTGTAGATATCTAAAGCTACTTCAGCATCCTGTTAATGCATGTTCAGAAGTCTTCCTATTGAACACCATAATAATTCATTCAAGAACATGTATATAACATGGTGGAAGTCCTTTCATATATCCCTCTGTTCTGATCACTTATCTGTTGTAAATTAAGAAAAGCACTTTGTCCCCCATATTTTGTTTTAAATAGTTTACCGTGTGGATCAATTTAAATAATGCAGTTTTAAAAATTCATATATTTTCTGTGCAAGAGCTACTGCAAGTTACAGCGTATTGGATTGCAGCTAAATAAAGCTTGTGTACTAACCTTGCAACATAATATAAAAAAATTGGTAATGCAGACCCATGTGCCATTTGCACCACACAATTATATCTGCCTTGCACACTGAGCGAAATCATATACTTGGAGACAAGGCCACAATCCATTGTAGAGTTGGCTCAGCAGAGCTTGTAGCTCAACATCTAGAACTTTCAGAGGCCAGGCTTCCAATTAGGGGGCAAAACAGTGTTTTTTCTATGAGATAAAAAATAAATGTCCTTTCCGTTTGGTTGATAGTCATAAATATTTATGATTGTAGGAAAGTATGAACACAGTGCATGATTTATTGTATCATGTTCTTAAAGCTCGACTATTGAAGTCAAAACATTTTCCCTATTTTTTCTTTTATGTAAAAAAACCCCCACAGGATTTAGTGTAGTATGTTTGAAAACAGGTCTGACCTGAGATTTGAAAAATAATCAAGTTATGAATGTTTGTATTCAACACAATTTAATAAATATTATGTAATGTAACTATTTTTTTATCCACCCCAATAATCTCTTATTGATAATAAACTAAGCAGGAAGCAGAAAACTGCTCCATCTTACTGCCAAGAGACAGTGAGATGGAAATTATGAGAATACTGAGAAAAATGTGAAATAAATTAAACAGTACTTCATTGGCATGTTTAGGAATTTAAAAAACAAAACAACCAACCATAGTCAGTATTATACTGTCATAACACACTAATTACATTTGGCAATAAGAAGAAAGCAGTTATCTGAAAAGTGAATTCCAACCACCCTTAAGAGACTCATTCCAAAACACAAGACGAAAATTTGGTCTCACAGATACGTTATTAAACCTCCTTAAAACAAAACGAATACGACCATTTGATACAGCTGAGCCAAAAGCAGTGCTTTGTTTAGAATCATTCAGTCTGGACTATGTGATTTCAAATGCCTGCATAAAGCCTAGTTTCAGTGGTGGATGCTTTAAACAATGGTCAGGTCAGGTCAGCCTTGCCTTTGTTCTGAAATGAGAACTACAGCAGATCAGTGCTGGGGATAAGAAGTGCAACCTTCTTTAGCTTTAGCCCAGGTGCCACTGTGTGCTCTTACCGCCTTCTGTGTCTGCCGCTCTGTGTCCTGCCACTACTGACTCCACCTTCCTGTTAGCAGCCGTCCCGCAAATGGAGAGCTGCACTTTCAGGAGGACTGAATGTGTCTTAAAAGTATATGGAAAGCAGAGGTTTAGTCTGTGTGTTTGTGTATCACGGTACAAAGACCACCGACTAAAACTCTGGGAGAAGAATGTACTTATAATTGATTTTTTTTTAAAACCAACCAGGAGGTTTCAGTGACCAAGAATGTCAAATGGTTGCTTGTATCATACACACCCATAAATTACAATGATATATACAGTGGAATCTCAGTTTTTGAGAATCTCAAAAGTCGGAACATTTCAGCTTTCAAATGCCGAAAACCCAGAAGTAACCTCCAGTTTTCAAACGATTTTCGGAAGCTGAACGTGCCATGCGGCTTCCGTTTTGAGTTTCCCTATGGTATTGAGGCTTCCAAATTGAGTTTTTGAACGTTTCAGAAGTCGAACAGTCTTCTGGAATGGATTATGTTCAAAATTCGAGGTTCCACTGTGTGTGTGTGTGTGTGTGTGTGTGTGTGTGTACAGGAAAGAGTTTTCCATTTCTGTTTAGATCAGGGGTAGGCAACGTGCAGCCCACGAAGACCGTTTTACCAGCCCACGAACCACCCCTGAACCAAGCCACCCACTCGGTGAGTTCCCCGCATGCTGCGCTAAAGCAGCACGGCACGGGGACTCACCAAGTGGTGCCAGAAATTGCATCTGCGCATGCGCAGATACTGGAAATCATGTCTGCACATGTCCAGATGCCGAAAATCGCTTCTGCGCAGGCGGGATTTTCGGTGTCTAGGCTTGCACAGAAGCAATCTCTGGCGCCGCGGACATGCGCAGATGCGCTATCCGGCGTCGCGCTATGCCAGTCCGGCGCCCGGGTGATCTCCGTGGGAGTGATCCGGCCCATGGCCGGTAAACATTGCCGACCCCTGGTTTAGATCAACTATCTTTCTATTAGTAATGTAATACCCTTATTAGGACTGAACCGCCTTTTATGTTTCCCAGAGCGGTGCACCCGGCTAGATGTTAAACAGAAGCGGGGTTGAAGAGATGAAATTTGTTGGTAAAAGGCAGAACAGACACCCAACTGTCTTACAGTTACCTATTTCAAAAAAATTATTTGCCTTAAGTAAGTTTGTGCCCAGTAGAGAGGATTTGAGTTGATATACCAAAGCTACCAGTTCCTCTTGGGGCAACAGGATGGTGTGGGGTAAGGCGGGAAAGGACATTTAGCCAGAATAAAAGTTATGTAAAACTCAAGGTCAGGGGTAAGCAACCTAAGGCCTGGGGGCTGGATGCGGCCCAATCACCTTCTAAATCCGGCCCACAGATGGCCCGGGAATCAGCGTGTTTTTACATGAGTAGAATGTGTGCTTTTATTTAAAATGCATCTCTGAGTTATTTGTGGGGCATAGGAATTCGTTCATTTTCTTTTTTCAAAATATAGTCCAGCCTACCACATGGTCTGAGGGACGGTGGACCGGCCCACGGCTGAAAAAGGCTGCTGACCCCTGCTCAGGATCTTACTACTTGAGTTGTTGGTCTTACAGGTATCAATGCTACTGCCATTGGGCAAAATCATAGTAACAGTACTAGTAGCAGCGATAATAGCTTCTGAAATGAAATGTGTTACAAATCCAGTATTTTTGCCAAACTACCATTTCCGGCCTAAGCATTATTGTGGACATAGCCATCCATGATGGCTAGCATAGTAAGATACTTCTTGCATGGTACAGAAAGTTGATTATCTCCAGGCAACATAATGCATTTTCATGAAAAATTAAAAGGGGTATTATCAGTCCAGTCCTCTTTATCAAGGTAGCTAAAATTCACAAACCTAGATATTTCCCTTCTGTTTCCCATAGTTTTTTATCCTTTTTACAATATCCAGTAAAGAACCGTAAATTAAATGACTAAAATTCTAAGTAAAAGATTATGTGACTTAAGAAAATGAATATAGTCATGGAAATCATGTGATTTCTCCTTCTAGTCTTTCCCCCAAATTTTGATGCAATATGTTCTGAAGTCCTCTTTTCCACATGTAAAATAGAGATAATTCTTCAATGCCTCACAGGAATACCATGAAAATAATCAGTTAACATTTTCAGGGATTCAAACATGGAAAGTTATATAAACGTTAAGTATTATTAGCTATGCAGAATGGTTAGAGAACCTAAGTCTCTATTATTCTTTCAAACGATAGTAGGCACTTAATTGAAGAGTATAGAAATTTAAAATGTAATATGAAATTAATCTTTTCTAAGGTTATTTAAGCTAATGGCATAGTAATGGCAAACTAATTTTACAGTGATTAAGAGATAATATACTCAGGGCTTCTAGTGAGGCTTTTGTTGAGGTAACGTACCTATCTTTGATGAGACTGAAGATAGAAAAATACATTGTACAGTATGCATCTCTAAGGAGATTCTTTATTGTGGGTTGGGTTGGAAACCCGTAGAGTGGAGGCAGCCTACAGACAGCCAATGTGGTCCCTTTTAAACAAAGACCGATGAGTTTGTCTTGCACACTGTAGCTTTGATAGAAGTCTTCTTACTTGGCAGCTGAATTCTCATGCAACTGTATTCCTCAATACTCCTCAGGCTCCTTGGCATGGACTCAATACAAATGATTTTGAGAAGTCTTTTAAAAGCACGCACAGTAGGAATTACTCTAAAAAATTATCATGTTGATAAATAGTCTATCTTTATTACGTTGACATCTCTCTTCCATGATGGAACTTGCAGCACACAGGGTTCCCAGGTAATCTGCTGTCCAGCCGCTGACCAGAATTTAACCTGCTGCTTCTGCAGGGGTGTTGCATTGTATACTTTCAGGCCATGTTCAAGGTCAAGGCCAACCTGGTAGGCTCCAGATGTTGTAGGACTATAACTCATCAGCTGCAGCCAGCACATTGTGAGAGTTATAGTCCAACAACATATGGGGAGCACTAGGTTGGTAAAGGGTCTTATAGCCAGAAACTGGGTCTTGGATGAAAACCAGTGCTTATTTTTCTGGCGGTACCCAATGATCCTTAATACCGGCACTTTCTTTTTCCTGGAGATGCTTGGCCGCATGAGGAGACATGGCATGGGCAGTGCCACTCCAGGGCCCGGCTGCCACCGCCCTCCAGGAGCTGTTCCTGGGCCCGATAACAGCTGCTGCTTCCTGTCAGCAGCAGCGTGGCTTGCCAGAGCGCATGAGTCCCGCTCCCTGTGGAGTGCAAGAGCAGGCAGCACAGTGTGTGATGTGCTTCCCCTGCAACGCACTGCACTCTGCTGTTGGCCATGTGCGGCTTGGTCGCCTCACTGGCAGCATTCACGATGGTCATGGCAGGGTGGGCGCCGGAGCCACCAAAGTCACCGGAGCCACTGCGGCAAGAGTTCCAGGTAATATGAGAATGGGAGGGAGGGAGGCCTTCTGGCTTTAAGAGACCCTAAGGGTCATCTACTCCAATTCCCTGCAGTGTGGCTGGGGAAGTTGGTGCCATGGCCAGCGCCAAAACAAGCCCTCCTTGTGGGACCCCCTCCATTGTCTTTCCCAGTTTTGCTCTGGAATTCCTCTAACGCCAGCCTCTCTCTCTTTTTCAGACCTATGCTCAGTATAGCCGCTTTGCAGAAGGCACGATGAGGCAGTTGTACATGTGATCCAAGTTAAATCAGTGCAATCATTTTTCATAATGAGTACCCTAAGTAGTTACTTTGTGCCACTGAGTCAAAAAAGGAAGGCTGAAGAAACAGCAGAAATTGTTGAATCAACTTCTGATCCTTTCAAACATTGCAAAACTAACACTGAAGATACATGTGGTCAAGAGGATGGAGGTTCAGGCAAAGATTGGCCCGAATGTTGGACACTATTGCAGAAAAATGACTTCTGTCAGAGAAACGAGTGGCTCTTTGTCAACAATAAAAGGTTGGGCTGCAAAGTGTGCCGAGATGTCGGAGGTCTTCCTGTTGAAAAACGGATGGGAATGAAAATTTCAGTAGAGTGGGCCAATTGTAAAATTAGTCATTTTGGAGAGTCTCGAAAACAACAGTTAATGTCTTTAAGAAAAAGATTTTTGAACACAAGGAAAGTGGAGCTCACAAAGCAGCTGAAAGGATAAAATCTGAATCTAAAAATGAAAAGTTAGATAAAGTTGTCTTAAACACAACAAAAGTGTTTCGAACTGCTTACAAAGTTGCAAAGAAAAATCAAGCATTTAACAACTTTGAAGATGAAATAAATTTACAGGAACTTAATGGCCTAGACATGGGATATACCTTTCACTCTACAAATGCCTGCATTAATATTTTAAACCATATTGCAGATGAAATGAGAAAAACATTAATAAGCAACATAGTGAACTCTAAGAACAAAATATCCTTAATTATTGATGAATCAACAACAGTGAATAACAGAATAACTTTGATTGTTAGTATTCGCGTAGTTCTTCCCAAACATTCGGCTCCAGTAAGTCTTTTCCTAGATTTGATTGAGTTACAAGATACAACAGCAAGAGGAATTTTAAGCTCATTAATCAGTCATCTTGAGTCCCTAGGAATCTCAGAAGATTATTTAAAGGAGTATTTATTGTCTGTCACTTGTGATGGTGCTGCAGTGTTGTTTGGCGCACATGGTGGTGTAAAAAGGTTAATAAAAGAAAAATTTCCGAGTGTTGTCTTCTGGCGTTGTGCTAACCATCGTCTGGAATTGTCTGTCAGTGACACAGTGAACAAAGTGGTTGGAGTTAATCACTTTAAGAATTTTATGGACAAACTCTATGTGACTTACCACGCTTCACCCGAGAATGCTAGGGAATTGGAGGAATGTGCAGCAACTCTAGAACTTCAGCTTCTGAAAATTGGAAGGATTTTAAGCACTCGCTGGGTTGCTTCTAGCTTTTGCACAGTTTTCGCAGTTTGGCAAGATTATGAAGCACTGGTTTATCACTTTCAGGAGGCAAAAGAAGACAGGAGAAGAAGCAAAACAGATCGCTGTCTTTATGAGGGTCTTTTACGGACAATAACATCATGTGAATTTGTTCTCGATTTGGGTCTTATGTGTGATGCTCTCCAAGTTCTCAGTGAACTAAGCTTGGATTTACAAGAGCGAAATATTGATTTGTTTACAGCAGACAGGAAGATAAAGAACACAGTTCAACTTTTTGAAGAACGAATTGAAAATCCTGGTCCATACTATAATATTGCTCTTCAAAGTCAGAAGACCATGAAGTTCAAAGGGAGTGAGCTCCACAAAAATGAAAAACTTACCCCTACAATAAGTTCATCTGCTTTCTATGAAAGTCTGAAAGAAACTGTTAGAAAGTGTATACTTGAAGGAGATGATGCTGATTTGCCTGAATGTGCCAAGGTTTTAGATTCCAAATATTGGCCAGAAAATCCTGGAAAGCAATTAACCTTTGGTGAAACTGAAATTAGAAAACTAGCACAAAAGTTTTGCTTAAATGAAAAGGAAACAATTCTTGGCTTTCATGAATATCTTGAAGAAAATGAAGTCCCGGACAAATTACTTCCTCTAATGCACGCTTTAAGCACAATTGCAATATCTTCGACTGAATGTGAAAGAGGATTATCTCAGATGAATCTTACAGTAACTTCATCAAGATCATCTCTGGTTATTCGGACAGTTTCTTCTCTGATGTTCATCAGGATGGTAGGACCACCTCTTACTCAATTCAATCCTACCAAATATGTTGAATCATGGCTGCTACAAGGACATCATAATGCAGTTGATACAAAAAGCAGGAAGCGATCTAGAGAAGATGAGGGTACATCGGAGGATGTATCAAAAGTGTGGCACTTACTCTAACAACTTCATGGTGAGTACCGGCATCGTTTTTTCTCCAAAAAAGAAATGAAAAAAAGCACTGATGAAAACCATCAGTGCAAGTGATTTTCTGTGCCTGCTTTTGTTCTAGTTTGGTGACATGATTTAGTTCAATTTCATCACCTGTAACAATTCATACATTTTACAACTTATTCCACAAAATGCACTTCTGCTGGAAAATCGACACTTCAGATTTCCTCTCCCTCTTTCTTTTTAAGTCCTGTTTGCCTTTCTGTCATCAGAAACAGTAGCAATGTTCATTACAGAGGTGGGTCCTGCTTGGAAATGTTTTAGAGTTACACTCCATATACTAAATTTATGATAACCTATTTTTTGAAAAAAAGCTTTCAAAATGAAGTCTTCAGCTAATGCCAGCAGAGGTGACACAGGAATAGGTCATGAGGGAAACCAGAGATGTGAAACCTGTGGACCTCCTGAGTTGGTGGACTCCGATTTCTGAGTCGTAGCCAGCTTGGCTGAACTCTTCCAGCATTTGGAGGGCCAGAGGTTCTCTGTCCCTGTGTAACTGTGCTCCTTAGGAAGAAAGGAAGCTAGCTTATATTGTCAGATCTGTGGTCCATCTAACTTACCATTGCCTACACTGACTGGCAGCAGCTGTCCAGGGTTTTAGACGGGAACATTCCCAGCGCTACCTGGAGATGTTGGGGAATTGAAGCTGTGGCCTTCTGCATGCAAAGCAGATGCTCTTGTCACTACAGCCCTTTCCCTTACCCCTCCAAGCACTGTACCCAGACCCCACAAAATGTTTGAGCAAGACAATGTAGCCCACAAGAGATGTGGTATTGATTGGCAGCTGGAGATGCATTTTACACTGTGATGAGTGCCTAACAGATTATCAGCATGCCTCACTGATGTAAATGGCCTTGGGAACTAAGGCACTTGGATAATAAGACGTTTGAATCAATTGGAATATTACTTACTGAGAGGTTCACTAATAAGCTGCTGCATTCACAGCCAACACAATTAAGGGATTTCAGTAGTCAAACTTCTTACAATAGGAGTTTTAGCCCATTAGTTTCCTTTTTTGCCTAAGCTTTGGATCCTGAAGATATGCAAGGCCAGCATCCATTAAGCAACAGAATGTGTGTGACCTTCCATTATGAAAATGCTGTTTGTTTTCTGCTAATTATGCTTAAAAAATGAGATAGAGTGGGAGTGAGATGGCAGTGACATTGGATTGGCATAAATTAGTTTATTACAGTAGAATAGTGGGCGAAGGGGGGAATGACACCCTAGAGATTACTTGAACTCATACATTTCTGCTGCCAAAGTTTACAGGCCTGTAAATTTAAATGTAGAATTTTTGTAGGCAGAATGCATTGACAAATATGCCTAATGGTAATACATCTAGTTCTGAGCCTCAGAACAGGTCAATAATAATGCTTATATTGATAGCAGCAATGTAGGAGATGTTATTTGGTATTAAAGCTAAAATCCATGTTATCCCCTTAATCATAATTACATTAATATTGACAGGCCCTTGACAATACCCACTTTACTATTGATAGATTTCTGTCAATAATGCATTTCTAAATAAAATATATTCATTCATAATTTGTACAATACTCAGTAAGCAATGCTAAAGTATATCAGGAGAAATACCTATTTTATTGGTGATATACAGCAAATTGTTTTCTTACAGTGCATGTTTTGCAAGAGGGATTCCTGAATTTAGTTAAATAAAAATGAGCAATATATTACATTATTTAAAAGAGCTGTTGGACAAATATAAAAACATGACATGCGGTTTACTTTTGGAAAGGAAAGCAGTGTGGCATTACAAGGAAAAGCTGGTCAGAAACATCTCAAATACATTTAAAACCTGGACCACGTCATCTTTAAAATATTATTTTAAAGTATATATACTGATATTTGGCGACATTTCTCCCCCCCCCAAGAATTCTTATTTGCTTTGCTTGATCACACTCTTCACAGAGCATTGCTATTGATAATATTCTTAAAGGTTTCCATTTGGAGCCTTATAGTTATCAGTGATTTGACTAAGATGGTGGAAAGGAGTTTCTAGAGGCGTTGTACTTTCATAGAATATCTCTCAGCTTCATAGGGCATAATATAATTAAAATTGGTGTGGTGCTGTTTGTAAGAGTGTGAGTTGTGGGTCAGGAAGTTGCTGATTCAAATCTCATCTCTGCCACAAACTCTCTGGAACTAGCTGACCTTAAGCAAGCCTCTCTATTATCCTAGCCTCAAGCCCATGGCAGTGGAGGAGATATACTGACTGTATCTAACTTTTCGCTATCTCCTCTTTAAGCCCTGAGATGTTCTAGGACAATGAGTTTCTAAACTTGCTTCACCCAGGAATGTACATTGCTGCCAAGGAATGTATTACAGGGCAGATTTGGGGGGAGGTTCCAAGTCTTACGCTCCGTTCTTTGGAGTGTCAGCCAATTTGTTTATCTTATTTAAAGCATGTTTATGCCACTTTTCATCCAAAAAGCTTCCAAGACAGTTAAAAAAAATACAATTACATAAGTGTTGTGGGGTTTTTTTAAGGCCACTAAAACTCTTCAGCTTGTTAAAAGGTCTAGTGATGGTTGACCAACTGATTTTAAGCAAAATTTGTCTATCGTGACTGATCTTGTTTGGAGGATGCCTGGAACATAGACAACTCCCTTTCTAGAAGCATTTTGAACAGAATTCAGTACGGTAGGCCTGCAACATAGGTGGGGCTTATATTCTAGGGATCGCACCTTAAGCCAACATTGTGTATACAGTGGAACCTCTACTCACAACCACAATCCATTCCAGAGGACTATTCTTATGGTGAAACGGGTCGCTGGGAGAAGCGCCATTGTGCGCAGGCACGGGCAGCGATTGCCACTTCTGCGCAGGCGCAAACGGCAATCGCCACTCCTGCACAGGCGCAAACCCGCCTGTTACTTCCGGGTTTGCTGTGTTTGCAACTTGGAACATCTGCGAGTGAAGGCAGTTGTAAGTAGAGGTTCTACTGTAGTCACAACCCATTGGGTTCAATGGCAGGTAGGATTGCCACAATTGTTTATCCTGGAACTCCACCCCTTCTTTTAAGAAAATTGCCATGCGCATGAAGATGAATGTACACAAGTTGTGGGCTTATTGTATATAGTCTCTGTATACTTCACAGTAGCAACTCACTTAAAGATCACATAAATAATTTTGATAAACAGAACCAGGGAGGTATGTCTGCATAGACAAAATGTTTCTGTCATGCCTCCTCTAGGAAATCATAGAATTGAGTTATGAGTTGCTCGTTTTCTCTGGTCACATTCCCCTTTTACTATATTTCCCCTCCCCTTTAAAACCTATTTTATTGCATAATCTTTATTTTGAGAGGTTGCACAGAATCTCCATTGTATTATGGAAAACTAGCCACACCTAAAGAACTATAGCATATTTATAGCAAAAGCAATTGTATAACCATAAGGCATGTTAGTGTTAGAAATGATATGCAATGTGTTGTTTGAGTTAGGGATATAGATACGTTACAACTTTCATATCTGTATACCGTTTTTACATATATTGGCGGCCATTGTGTCATGGGTGTCCACAGAAATAAATGTGGAGGCGCAGGGTCTATGACTTGTAACTACAAATTGTTGAATGGAATATTATCAATCTTCATATGACTGAACCCCACACATCATTATATGGTGCTGAAGAGAAGCAACAAGAAACCGTGGTGGTGTACTGTATTGTTTGGGATTACACATTTCAAAACTAACTGCTAACAAATTGCTTTATTTGTCCATTTAACAATAACAGAGTTAAGGCAGGAGAAAAGACACAGCTTCAAATTTTCCATTGAACAACAATACTGTAGGATTCTAAACCAAATTAAAAACCCCTAAGGCTGAATTTCACACCTTTTACACAGAATCTGCCTTGGCTGTAGTGAACAACAGACATAAGGTCTGAAACTAGTCAGAATTTATTTATTTATTTTCTGTTAATGCTTGCCTGTCCATAACATAAAGGAAAATATAATACAAAGTGGATCACCGTTCAAACAAAAACTGGAGCCTCTGAGAGTCTTGGCCAAAACAATCAATCATTTCTTTTATAAATTTCTCCTTGGGATAGGTCTTCAACTTTTCTCCATGGTCACTCCACAAACACAAGCCAGACGATCGATCTTCACTCATTGTCGTACATCGCCATTTCTTCACCCTGCACAGAGTGCTAAAGGATCAGTCATAACTGCATGTTATAACTGGAAGGGAAAGTGCTGTATGGATGGCCATTAAAATAGCAAGGAATGGTTCAGTATGGTTCAGTAGTTTAAAGACTCATGTTGCATATTTCACACAATGATTCATCCCCAACAGTTTCAGTTTGTAAAGATCCTGAAGGAAACTGACATGAGTTTTAAAGTATTCCCCCCCCCCCAAATGCTGTACACCTGTGATCATAATCGTTTTAGCAAACTCTATGCAGGTTAGTTCACTGTTATTGGTGAAGCTCATCATGATGGGTTATGCAGTGCAACCTAGTGACAGAAAAGTGTCCCAATATCTCAGCTAATAAGCGAATCCAGGTGGGGAATATTGATGGACCAACGGTAGAACTCTTCTGTGGATTGGTTGGGTTGATCGGCACAGTTTTGCTGTTGTGTTGCTTCTCTAGGTGTTTTAAGTTCTACATCAACTTCATCTGCAAGTTTCCTGCACTTCTCTATTGTTGCGCTAAAGCTTCCTTGTGTTTCCAGCAACGCTTGTATATATGCTTTCATTTCCATTACATCTATCTTTATAGAGCTCGGGGAACTGTCTGTATGAAAGAATAAATGAAAGAATGTTCATTTATGATCACAAGACTGAAAATAAAAGTCTGTGTTTGTGATCCACACAGCAAGTTGTCTTGGTGTTACATGATGTTGTGAGTTGCGGGACCATACTTGTGTAAGTTTCTGCAGATACACTCTTGTATTTTGGAGTCCATCATGCTTCACACAACATTGGTATGTTGGGTATTAGATTTTGTCTTTGGATGCTCTCACAGAAAAAAGGTTGGCTTCAATTGTGCGCACTGTATTACACACATAACTTAACACTGTTTAGATCATTTACAGTGAGATGGACTCTATGGGATGTGCAGTGGACAAGGGTTGCCTAAGAATAACTTGCCCTGCTTGAGCTCCACCTTCTTTTCCTGCCGTGGTTGAACAGCCCTTGTATCCTTCTCCAAGTAATTTATAGCAATCTAGTCCAAAATCAAAACAAGCAGATAAAATTGTGTTGGCTATGCCTGCTGGTCTGAGATGAAAGTGAACCCAGGGAATTCCTCATGAATAGATTCATTGTTTCCCCATTGTCAGATTTTAGATTGTAACCTCCTCAAGGCAGGGACTTCCTCTCTTGTACTCTGTAACGTTCTGTGCATAGTGATGGTGCACTGTGAATAATTGGAGCAGAAAATTTAATCATACCAGTTCAAACATTTATATAAGTTAAGCACACTGTTCTGCCACATGTGGACCTAGCACCGTTTCTGGGAGAAGTCTTGAATCTCTGAGCCATCTTCACATTTCATAAAAGCAATTGACTGGTTCAGTTCCATTTAAGACCATGAGGGAATTAATGAGACTGATTGCTGACTGACAGCAGGAAGTTGTGCTTGTATAGAATGGAAAAATAGGAGGCAACTGCCTAAAATGTACAGCCTCTAGTCCAGGCATCCCCAAACTCAGCCCTCCAGGTGTTTTGAGACTACAACTCCCATCATCCCTAGCTAGCAGGACCAATGGTCAGGGATGATGGGAATTGTAGCCCCAAAACACCTGGAGGGCCGAGTTTGGGGATGCCTGCTCTAGATAGTGCTGAAAGCCTGAGACCAAGGTATTGCAAGGTCACCAGCTGTCCATCACCAGATGAAAAATAAATACACCACCTCAACTGACGCGGGCTTGAACCATCATGAAATCAGTAGAGTGCAGAACTCTGTCCAGATTTCAAAGAATCTATTCCAGTGTTTAGCACAATACAACCTAGCAGTTCTTCTGCCATAGATCCCTTGGTCCTCATTGTATGTTGCAGAAAACCCTGGGATTCCCAACAGCACCAGCAAGCATTCCTCCATCTCACTTGCAAAAGGACATTCCCATCATTACCCCATTGTCCCTTGCAGTGCTTAGCTGCAAGGGATATTGGAGCGTGTACACAGGTCATGCTGGCTGATGGTGGCATCCAGCAGATATGGCCAGTGCTCTGCATGCTCCCTGCAAAAAAACACAAGCAACACAAGCTGAATGTCTGGATGTTGGTTTTAGTTTAAAGGAAGCTAAAATTCTCTTTTTAGGTACCTAAAGTTTGTCACAGTCTCTGCTACACTGTTATGTATATTAATTTGATACGCTTACCTTCTCTCATGCATGCTTTTCATTCATATTCTTCCATATCATTTTGTATGGCAAGTGCTTATGTGGCAACAATTTCTTCTTTATCTTACCCATATGTCTACTTAATATACCCAACTTCCACATTTAAGGCATGTTAACTATTTTAACTGCAATACAATTCCTCCCCTAAGAAGTTCCTCTTAATTTTCATATTTGATAATAACTTCCGCCATAGGAAGTGCTGTGATTTTCTTAGGGAACACTTGCACCTATGAAATAGCCATTAAAAAAGAGAGAGAGAGTTTGGAATAAGCTTTTGCCTTTTTCCTAAAACCAAATACTTATCTTTCTGGGGAAGAGTGGAGGGTTGAGAGAAAACTATTTAAAAATAAAAAAGTAATTGGTGTTTGTGTGTTCAGCCTATTGCACCATGCTTCACATTTAATTATAAATTTAATTGCTGATTGCACATTCTAAGCTTCAGTTGAAAGATTAATACCAACCATATAGGGTGAAAATTATGTGAGCATTACTGTCGCTGAGTATGTATATACAGTGTTTGTTCTTGGAGAACTAATAGGAGAGGGTAGCAAACTCAGGTTTCAAACCTCTGCTTACCATTGAATGACCTTGGGGTAAGTTGCACTTTCCCAGCTTTGAATTCTTGGGTGATCTAGCTCACAAAGTTGTTATCAACATGAAATACTTCCTTTAAATCCTAATAAATTGTAATTTAAATTAATATGATAATAATATATATCTTTAAATCTCTTCTTTTATCATAGAAAGCCACGTGTTGACAATGGCATCTGGCGATGACAATGGCAAGAAAGTGACTCCTGTGCTCAGAATAAGTCAGCTTGATGCCCTTGAACTGAACAAAGCATTGGAACAGCTGGTTTGGTCCCAGTTTACTCGCTGTTTTCAGGGATTTAAACCCGGACTGTTGGCTCGCTTTGAACCAGAGCTTAAAGCCTCCTTGTGGCTTTTTTTGTGGAGATTCACTGTCTACTCCAAGAATGCAACCGTGGGGCAAGCTATTCTGAACATTCAGTACAAGAACGACTTATCCCAGATGCAGAAATACCAGGCATTGAGCAAGCAACAGAAATATTGGTACCTTATTTGCACCGTCGGTGGGAAATGGCTGGAAGAAAGGTGTTACGGTTTATTTAGCAATCGTCCATTGGAGTCATTCCGGAAGACAAAGTACTTTATTAACATAGTGTTTGGGCTCATCAGGCTTTGTGAATTGCTGAACTTCCTCGCTTTTCTTCAGAAGGGAAAGTTTGCTACACTCACTGAACGTATTTTGCGAATCAGATCAGTGTTCTGCCAGCCGCAGAGTGTCCGTCAGATTGGATTTGAATACACAAACAGGGAACTCCTGTGGCATGGGTTTGCTGAATTTCTTATTTTTCTTTTACCACTTATTAACATGCAAAAGCTCAAACTCAAAGTCTCTTCTTGGTCACTACCTATTTCAGGGGGTACCAGAAATGAAAATAATTCAGCAACATGTTGCAAGGAATGTTCTCTGTGTGGAGAGTGGCCCACTCTGCCTCACACCATTGGCTGTTCACACGTTTTTTGTTACTATTGTATTAAAAGCAACTACTTACTTGATTTGTATTTTACTTGTCCTAAATGTGGCACAGAGGTGCAAGATCTGCAGCCATTAAAGTATAAGTTAGAAATGAAAGAGGTAGATACACATTAAGCTTGTTTAGGCTTTCCTCAAATCCATAATTATGTATAACTTGTGCATTCTATGGGACTATTCTATCCTGATAGTTAAATTTAGCCTACAGTAATTTTAACCTTTCTGTAATACTGGAATTCTCTTATTCTGTGCTACTTTGTAGGTTTTGTTACTTAACTGTAAAATGATCAACAGCTATAAAAAGATTGTGGTTTTCAAAGAATTGCAGTCTCAATAGAACTGTAAATAAAGAACAAAATAGTGATTAAACTCTGTCCATTTTATTTATATCATCATAAGTCAGTGTATTCAAAGAAAACCTTTTTTAAGGTAACTGAATCAGTCGGTAGAGCATGAGCCTCTTCGTCTCAGGGTCGTTGGTTGAAGCCCCACATTGGGCAAAAGATTCCTGCATTGCAGGGGGTTGGACTAGATGACCCTCGTGGTCCCTCCAGCTCTGCAATTCTATGATACATAAGTTAAGGTTACCAGACGTCCTCGTTTCCCGGGGACAGTCCCTGGATTTACAAATCAGTCCCCACACAAAATCCATTGAAGTTGAAAAGTGTCCCCAGATTCATTGGGAAAAACTTGGTAACCTTAACATAAGTGCAGCCACTTGTAATAGGTTACATGTAATATAACCACATGGGTGCCAAGAAAAGAAGAGAAGAGATGGCATCATTAAAAGCTGCCACAAACTGTGGGAAGCCATTTCACACTATTGTTTCTCAAGTTGCGCTGGACCCATTCAGTTTTATATACAGTTCAACCACACTGGGTTGTATTCTGTGGATGGTATGGGAGTAGACCAGTAAAAGTAATAATATTTAAAAAGGTGTAACAGTTTTATTAATTTCAGTGAGTCTACCCTGAGTATGATTTAGTTGCATAGAGACAACTGCACCTGCAAACTATTATTATTATTAATATACCACCCTATACCCGGGGGTCTCAGGACGGTTCACAGAATAAAATCATGCCTGCAAGCGCTCCAATTGGAGAACAGCCTTTACCAAAGGGGTCATGGGCTTTGAAGACACTCAAACTCAGGACGCAAGGGAGAAACATGCTGAGAGGAAGGCACGCTTGGCAAATCCACACTGTGACCAACTCCCACCCAGAAACCAATGTCCCCACTGTGGATCTAGAATTGGCCTCCACAGTCACTTACGGACTCATTGTTAAAACCGTGTTTATGGAAGACAATCTTACTCAGCTACAAGTGATTGCAGCAGCAGCAGAAGAAGAAGAGACCACAAAATACCTAATAAAAATAAAAAACAACAACCCAATAGCCCCCCCCCAAAAAAAATTTTTTTTAAAGGGCATAGGATGTAAATTGAATCAACCAAATTAGGCTTGACTTGCAAATACTTGAGGGCCAATCCACAAACCTTATTGTGGTTGCATCCCCCGGTGCTGTTTGGCCTCCAATAGGTTCAGAGGCTTTACTGAACTTTCCGAGAGCTCCTTGGAACACACAAGCTGTGGTTTGCCTTCCAATTGTTGCATCTGGGCTTGATGAGGCAGGTGACCCTCACCTGTTCCCAGCCTCCTCCAGCTGAGGAATCACTCAGCTCCTCCAGCTAACAAGCACCACCTGGCCGGCTGGGCTGTGGGGCCTCACCTGCTTCAGCCTCCTAGAACATTCCTCCCACTGCTCCTTAGGCCTCCGCCTGCTGTATTTGGGGAGACAGAGCTCCCTCTGACTCTGGTCATGGGCCCTGCTGCTTTGGTTCCTGCACGCTGACCACCATTCTTCATCACCCCGTGAGTACTTTCTGTGCCAACCTCTCCTCTTCCATCCCTAGCTTGCTGTGTGTCCCAGTAACAGCAACACCCCACACCAGATTCCTCTTCCTCCTTCCTGCTCATGACATGGGCCGTAGCTCAGTGGTGGAGCATCTGGTATTGTCCCATCTCCCAAAAGGGCTGGGAGTGTCAGAGCTGATGCCAGTCAGTGATGCTAGATATGCCCTGAGCTAGATGCGCCAATGGTTTGGCTCCGTAGAAGGCAGCTCCCTGCGTTCCTTTGTACCAGGCCAATCCCGCAAAGTGACACCTGGCATATTTCTGAAGAGGGTGGCTAACTGCCGGCCACTCGGTTGATACTTGTGCACTGGAGCAGAAAGGCTAGGAAGTGGATATATTGCTCCTGGCTCTTTTCCCTCGCTGTTATCGCCGATGTGGTTTTCCGTGTGGGGGTGGGGGAACCAAGTAAAAGCATAATTCCAAAGTGCAAGAAGAAAAAGGATTATTAGAAAGATAACTATCGCCTCAGAACTCTGCACTTGTACACACGCCTCGCAACTGAAGCCAAGCTAATTTCCCCCAAAGCAATTGCCAAATGAGGGCTAGAGTTACAGTTTGCATGCTGACAGGAATCCATGGGGGGTTGATATTAAGCACACTGAGGGTAATTAAGTTGTTGTAATCATTAGTTTAGCAGTCAGTTTGGCACAGGGCTACGGTCTCCCCACCTTAGCCACAAGCAAGAACATCAGCTAATTTCCGCTCCTATTTAAAAGTTGTTCCGTTGTCTTTAAAGAGAATGCAGTTGTTTTAACTCTTAACAGAGTTTTGATACTGCGAGGCAATTTCTTAGCTACGAGGAGGAAATATTTGTAGATTTCAGCTAACATGGCCAGCCTGTAGCCATGCCTATTCTACAGCCAAGCCCCATTGACTTCAGTGGAGGTTTGGGGTAAGAGCGTCTCCTATAGACCAATGTATGGGGTTCCGGACTTCTTCAATTGAAAAAGCCGTGTGAACTTTGGGAAATAGGATGGGGGAGGAGTCTGTCTCCAATCTGTATTCCTGGGACTGCAGGAAGCTTTTGGACCTTTGATTTGTTTCTTTGAAGACTCGCTGAGAAATGTAATTTTATCCTTGAGAAATGCTTTCGCTTCCCCCTCCCCCATCTCCTTTTCCAGCAGGAGAAAAAAGAAAACATTCTGGAACTCAAAATAGGAATGCAGATGTGTTTTCTGCTTTGAACTGGAACTGCTACGCCTGCCCCCTTTCATGCCATCCCCCCCTCTCCGCCCCACTTAACTGGATGGATGAAAAATTTTAATGTCATTATAAGAGTAATGGGTCTGTTTGGGTGTTTGGTAGCAGATAGTATTCTACTTGTGATTGTCTTTGCAGTAATTCATTGCTTTGAATTTGGAATTCTATTATTTTACATCTCTGGCGGTTTAAAGTGGTTTTTTTTTTTTTTTCTTTTTTTTTTTTAATAAACACCAAACTTCACCTCATAAAAATTCATTACATAAGGGCATAAACAAGCATTTTTCCTTCCAGTCATTGGCAGTAAGTGATTCATCAGTTTTCCACAGAAAACCAATTTCATTGCAGATGTTCTGTAATTTCCACTCTTCTTGAGTTGTAGAATCATATCAACCAATCCCAATGTAGGCTATATAGAGTGTTTGAAGGAGTGTGTGTGTGTGTGTGTGTGTGTGTACGTACGCTTAATCTTTTTAATAGGATTGACTATCATTTGCTGTCTCATCAGTTTTTCAAAATAACCATAAAGTAATCAGTCTGCCATTCTTTCCTTTGGGATACAGGCTATCATTTTCCTCTGTGCTCTGCCCTGTTGAAAGAGTGCAGTTAATAACTGGCAGAAAAGCAAAGGAATTGGGGTCCACACACTGTGCTTAAAACATCCTTCCGAATGAATCTCTCCTCCACCTTTTTGCTCGACAGAAGGGGCAGGGGGCAACGTTCTCGGCACCCCTCCCTGCCCCCTGCACTGGGCAGCTCGAGGCTCGCTTGCCGCATGAACTTCCTCAGCAGTCTCGCTACTGCCACGGGGTGGGCAGGAGGGAGAAAGGTGCCACAGAGCTTTGTGCGCCACTGCCACTGCCTCCTCTCCCTGGCAGGAAGCGAGAGAGCGCAGCTGGCCATAGGAAGAGCCACTGCCACCGCCCAGCATGCCCTCGCAGCTGTTCCTGGTCGGTCCCTGACTCCCGATGCTGGGCGCCCCTGTTGGGCGGCGACATGGCACAGGGCACCACTAACCCTAATGGGTAAGATGGCCTTGTCTCCACATGATTTGGACAGCAGCTTTTGCCAGCCCAAGCCAGCCTGGTGACAAAGGTTCTGTGTCCACATCTGACTCCCGCCCCAGAAAGTGGCTTAATTGTGCAGTAGGCAAATCACAACCAGTTGATATTAATTTGGATGCTTTTATACCACAGCCTAAAGGACTTGTGCCAAGATTTGCACATGCAACCCTTTTTCTAGAGAGTGAAACTGTACAGGGATAGTGTCGTGAGTGTCTTGGGTAGTAGGCAGCAAAGTCATCCCATTAGTGGAAGGACCTTCACCTACACAACAGAACTTCCTCTCTTACACGCAAGGACCTGCCCCCATGCCCTCCACAAGTCTGCTCCAGAGGATTGGGGGAAATCCCAGAACAGGTTTTCAGGGGTGCAGGAAGGGGCATGCAGGGAGAGGAGAGGGAGTTGGAGTTTCATTGTGTGGGTCCTTATGCTCAGTCACTAAAGCATGAGACTCTTAATTTCAAGCCCCACGTTGGGCAAAAGATTCTGCATTGCAGGGGGTTGGACTAGATGACTCTTGTGGTCCTTTCCAACTAAAAGTTCCAATTTTCTTTCCAATTACTCTTGTGGTCCTTTCCAATTAAAATTCTATGATTCTATGACTTAGTTGGATACAACCCATTGATTTTAGTGTATACCAGTTCTTACAGCCATTCCCCGTTGTTGCCAAACTAGGAATCTTCTATGTATGATGAAGGGCTGAACCAAATATATACGTCCCTGCATGAAATAGATACAGTCGTACCTTGGAAGTCAAACGGAATCCATTCTAGAAGTCCGTTCAACTTCCAAAATGTTCGGAAACCAAAGTGCGGATTCTGATTGGTTGCAGGAAGTTCCTGCAGCCAATTGGAAGCCCCGGAAGCCCTGTCAGGAGTTCGGCTTCCAAAAATAGTTCGCAAACCGGTACAGTTGCTTCCAGGCGTTCTGGAGCCAAAACGTTCAGGAACTAAGCTGTTTGAAAACCAAGGTGCAACTGTACTGCATTGATCCCTGTCCCACCACAGAGAAGATTCCTTGTTGACCTTCATCTTGACAGGTTTGACATACTGGTGCAAGGTGCAGGTGACATTCAGGGAAATGAAACTGAAAGATAGGTTGAGGTGGTGGTGTTCTTATCCCGAGAAAATTAGCGACTGAGTGTGCAAGGAGGTGAGTGAGGGCTTGCCCTTGAAGGCTCAGTTCTTAGTATCC